GGGTACTGCTAACTTGGGAATTTGTTGAATTAGTCAGGGCTGCCCTACCTTACTCGCACCTCCTGATTTTTTGTTCCATGATTCCCTAATTAAACTAGGTAGCCTTACTGCAAAACACGATCGCCCTCCAAAGACCAAGAGCCTGACTACTTCATCGCTGAACTTGGCCAATCACGTGTGACACTTCTAGAAGTCGAACTACGGTGGCATGAAGCAATGGGACATTGTGCTGCGTAAAACGACTGTCGAGCCTAGAAAACGATGAGAAACAGTGACAGCTTTAGTCGGCAGCTACTGTTATGAAGTAGAGCCTTCATTTGAGCGTATCGCACCAATATCTAGCGATCATGTTTTGAAGCGTGTTTCAATGGGAAAGAAATTGCATTGAACGTCACCTTTTATGAAAGGCCATCACATGATGACGTGGATAGAAGGTGTTTAAAGTTTACTGAGCACAGATTTGCACTATTGCTATGAAGCAGCGCACGTCCAGGATTGCGTCACCACACTTCATCAGCTGGTTTCGCCCTCCTACGCATCACACGATGGTTTTCATGAAAAGAGATGGCCCATCAACTTAGGGTAAAAGATCAGTTCACGCATACGACCAAATGCTCCGAGGTTTTCCTATTCTTCAGTAGGAGCCTACCACGGTCTACACAACCCTGTGAACATCCAGTACTGGCCACGGGTTCAGACAGTTAACGGTCGAATACGTTTTGTTGCTACTGGACGGAATGAATAATGTCCACTCCTGAGTGCTTGATGCTTACATTTAGCGGACATTTAGATGTCAGAAGACCAGGTTCAATGAATACTGGTTCTCTTGATAAGGCTTCAGGAATGAGACGTGTTCTTGGTAAGGACATAATGCGCATTGTTTGACTTGCTCTTTATTTATTGCTCTACTCCGGCGAGTGTCTAGACTTCACCTTCCCTGCGTAAGCTTTACGTCTTCCACCGTGCTCATTCTCGCTTGTGAGGTCAACACCTCGTGAAACGGATTCGTATGAAAAAAGATGCAAGCTCATGGCATCATGTTCGAAGACACGCGGGGTGGTTTAAGGTGAGCTGCCCTGGATAAGTGATCAGAGCAAGTACTAGTGCAAGTCACAAACCTGCACTAACACTTGCTCTGCGCTTAGCCCTAACAAGTTGATTGTTTGGCACATGCAATGCTAATATTCGCGATGATGATTTTAGTGTACAATCA